AATCGTTAATAAGAATAATTATATATAATTTATCATATTATCTAATATATTACTTTACATAATGTTTTATTTATTTAATATAAATAAATATATTAAATATAAATATAAACCACATATATAAATTTATATTTAAATAAATAAAAATATTTTTTAAAATATATTTTTTGAAATATATTAAAATATTATTTTTTAATATAAATTTATATTTTGTGATTTATATTTATATTTAATATATTTATATATATATTAAGTAAATAAATTTTTACGAAAATTATTATATTAGATAATATAATAAATTATATATAATTCTTATTATTAACAAATATTTTTAATATGTATTAGCGAACTATATCTATATTTAACGAAATATTAACAAAATATTTTTTTTATTTTTTACTATTTTTTAATATATATTAAAGAAATATAATTTTTTTAAATATTTTATTAATATATAGTTAACAAAATATATTTGTTATATTTTTTTATTTTTGGATTTTTTATTTTTTTATTTTCCTATTTTTATTATTATTTTTATTATTTATATTTTATTTTTATTCATTTTGCTGATGTGTCTTTATATTTATTTATTTTTGGATTTTTTATTTTATTTTTATATTTTTTATCTATGTGCAGTTGTGTATTTGGAGATAATGATGCCACATCACGTCATGTATATAACACGTAGGAAATTAAGGAAAGTTATAATGCCACATCACTACCTAATCCGACCACGTCAGCTTTTTTATCAGGTATGGTGATTAATGTATCTTTTTTGACCAAATCATCAACTACATGTTTCTTTTCCGTGAGGGACGACAAAATGTGTCTTTTGTTGTCAACGCCTAACGTGATGTATCATTTTTAAAATTTTGCCAGCATTCACCATCATCATATATTCATCTAATAACTTAATTTAAATAGGTTATTCATAATAAATATTTTTTTAACATGTTTTTTGGATCTATGCCTAATGTTAAAATGAACTAATACGTATGGTTATGTAAACTAATACTACTGCTTTTAAAACATAGTAATGATATGTAGAGTTCAAGATATTAAATATATTTAAGGTATATTAGAATATGGTTGAGCGTAGTTGATGTTATATATTTTTAAATATCGAGTACAAGAATATTAATTCTTTTAAAATTTCCAAACGGAATAATTTAAGTAAGTTGCCATTGTTATTTTCCATTCTTAAAATTAACCAAAAATAATTGAATATGAATTTAGTATGTTAATGCATTTCCCATTATTATTTGGCACTCTTAACAAAAATAATTAACCTTACAATTAATTACCCAACCAAATGTAGAAATGTTGCCAAATATAATCATTGCATATTATCTATATTTAGCAATAAATTCCATCAACTCCCTCTTTATATATATATAGATTACACACAATATTTATTTAATAATGTGCAATTAGAGAATTTGACAAATAATATCAAATAAAGATAATAATACCAATAAATAAATTATCCAAAAAATCCATAAACAAACAAGGCATCACATATGCAAATTTTTTTCTTAAACGATAAATATATTAAAAATGGAAAAACTTAAAATAGAGTACACTCGAGTTGCTAACGGACACCAAAAAACCAGCACAAAGATTGGATCCACCCCTTAAGATTACACATACAACTAAGGGTACAAACAACCGCAAACAACTACAAAACAAAAGAACTCCAAAAAAGAGATAAATTAACTTCACAAGAGAGACTAGAATCACACTTGAAAAACTAAAAGAAAAAAAAAAAACACAAAAGATAATTACAACACGCACCTAAACAATAACTGTCTAACACCAGTCACCCTCTTCCGCAAGAAGAACAACCCGCAACAATTTAAGAAAGACAAGAACACGGCCCCAACCTAAAACAAGAAACTTCAAACTTCATAACTCGTCAGGCTAAGGCTAACCATCTCTAAATCGACAGAACCGAGACCTCCTTCCAAACGGACCACCTTCAGACATCAACACCCGGAGGCCGGCACCCATCTCCTCCCCCAACATACACCGGCGACACCAACCAGTTTCGACCAAAAAAGAAATTCTTCGCCATCGGAGGACGGTGTCGATATCCATGCCAGAAACACTGACAACGTGTAATGGAAGAAAACAAAAAATCAGCCCAAACTTCGACCGACAAGGGGCCGACGAACAGAGCCGGCAGCTCCATCCGTGCCCTAAGCTCCACAGCCAAGCCCGACTACGCTGCCCATAGAAGGAGAACATCACGTCAAAGGTTAGAATCGAACCCACGCGGAAAGATAGAGAATGCCCCCGTGTCGGCAATACTTGCGGGGAAGCAGAGCGTACGACGGCACCGCAGATGGAGGAGGCGCGCTGAAAATGGAAAGAGATGGTTTCTGGATTTGGGGCGTTATTTTGTTCATTCCGTGAAGAGAGGAAAAGAGCCTAACATAATATATGAACAAAATTGCATTTTTAGTCAGCAGGTTTAACGTTGTAGCATTTTTAGTCCAAAGATTTCAACTTTTTTGTCTTTTGATCCTGTAATTTAGTATTTTGCTGCAATTTGAGTCATTCGGGACTGAAATTGCAAAAAAATTAAAATTACAGGACTTAAATTGCTAATAAAAAATTCATCCAAATTTTTTTTTTATTAGCAATTTAAGTTATGTAATTTTAAGTTTTGTTGCATTTTCACTCCTAAAAGATTAAAATTGCATTGAATTTTAATATTATAGGACCAAATAACAAAATGTTAAATTTTTAAGACTAAAAACGCTACTGGATCAAACCAACAAGATTAAATTTGTAATTTTGGCTAATATATGCGTTAGTTCAATAAATAAAGAGGAAATTACACTCTGTACAACTCCTATAACTTTTTATTACAAAATTACCACATGCATAATATTAAATTGCATTACTACTACATGTATAAAAAATAATTAATTGAAGTATGCTATAACCGATTAGCGTAATTAAATGTAGGCTTTCTCTTTCCTTCTTATCTCTTCTTCTCCATTCTTCTCTATCCCTCTCTCTGTTTTTTTTTCTTATTCCTGATTGGTGAAATCCTCCCTCTCTATCTCTCCCTCTCTTTGTTTTTTTTCTTTTTCTGATCGGTGGAAGACGACAATAACATTTATAAAAAACTCGACGTCTAGATCTGAAATTATTTTCATTATATGTTATGTATATGTTCGGTATATTTTCGGTATACATATATAAACCCAGAAAATGGTATATGTTCAGTATATATATATTCGGTATATGTTCTGTATATGTTCGTATATATTTGGTATACTTATATAAACCCCAAAAATCTACATATATATATATATATATATAAATATCGGATCGGAATAAAACCAGAAAATATACTACATATATACCAAACTTTGCTGAAAATACCACATATATACAAACAGAAGGACCTAAATTAACGACACAAAATAAAATATTAAAATACAGAGAAAAAGATGTATACAACTATACATACACGTGCGACCATTAGAGACTGCCTGATCGAAGGGAAGAGCTCTGTTCATATTCTCTTTTGCTTCATGTTCATATTCTCTTTTTGCTTTTGAGTTTTTTATAATTTAGGAAAAAACAATTTATGGTTTTGTGGAGATTTAGGAAGAGGATGTATTGACGGCAGCGCCATGAAACTCGAAAGAGTTTGTTGTTTGGAAGAACACAAATGGCCACAGATGAAGGGGGAGAGAGGGTTGGCTGCTATGTTAATGGTCCGTTACTAATTTATAGCATTTATGTAGATATTTATGTTAAATTAGGTCATATTGCAAATAAGTTTTTAATTTCATATATGTGCAATATTTTGGCAATCACTAAAGCATGTAAGTAAATTAGCCATAAATAAAAGAAAAGAAGCCCAAAATATTTTGGGAACGAGTCATTGTCAAAAGTCAAAACCCTCAATCAGAGATGAATCAAATGTAGAGACAAAAAAATAAAAAAGCACGACGGAACACAGAAAATTGTGAAGAAAGACGAGAATCATCCTCCGATTGGCGATCAGTTCACGGTCCACTGCCGGCGCCGGTGTTCATACTCCTCTATAGTTTCTCTGTCCTCTCACTACTTTCTTCTTACATTCGTCTGAAATAGTAAGAACTGCAAGTTCGAGTTTTGCTCCCTTATTTCTGCTGCATTCGGAGTTTCTAGGTTTTTTTTGGAGTCTGATCGGATGCCACTTCTCATTTATTTCTCTAATTTGCCTTATTTAGCTCAAGATTTGGTAAGATATTATTGTTCAGAACACTGGTTTCGACATTGCATATTTTATCGTTCTTGCTTGTTATTTATTATTGGGAACCATTATTTATCAAAGCTTTTGAACCGACCTTAGGTGGAATGGGATACGGTTTGTAAATTCATAATGTGAAAAATGTTCCTGCTAAGAGGATGAATTGGGTCTAAAGATTCTTTAAAGTGGTAGTTTGAGATAAATTGATAATTTGAGGGAGTGAGTTCTTGTAAATTGCTCGAGTGTGAACTTATTATCCTGTTGGGACCGCAAACTCGGGCATTACCTTGTTGGGGTCGTATTTGTGTCTTTGTGGTTTTCTGGGTTTCTAGTGTATTGTCTTGTTGGGTTCCATTCTAGGCTGTCTTTCGACCTGTCCTCCTAGTTTTTCAGCTATTGGCTGTTTGTATTCAGCCGTTGGTTGTCTGTATTCAACTTGTGGTGGTACCTTTGCACTTTTGTGCGCATTTATATACTATCTCTATCGTTTCAAAAAGAAATAAAATTCTTGTAATTGATAAATAATTTTCTGTTTTATTGATCTAACACTTGTTGATGTCCCTGTTTCTTCAATTTATCATTTTGTTGTATTTAATCAAACGGCATTGTTCTTCCACTTTCTTACAGGGAGGCGGAGTGTCTACACTCGTATAATTTTTCGCCAGTCATTTCATGTTTAATGAGATTTGAGTCAGGCTTCAAACCTTGAAACTCACGATTTGGAGGGTAATTGCCATTTGAGTGTACAATGCAAGATGGAGATTCCCGAGAGATAGAGCCAAAGGATAAAATTATCAAAGTATACTCGCAATTCATGACGAGGGTGGCTCAATTTGAAGAGCTCGTGTCGACCGGGTGCACATTACTCATCGGCTTTCAGCAAGCTCTCGGGTTTTTGAGACGGCCGTCCATTGACAAGACATCAACACTGGTCGAGCGCATTATTAAGACTCATGACTCGAGAAGAATTTTGTCCTACGTGGAATCTGGATGTGTCAACTGTCACGACTGTGTACAGAATGTGAGCAAACTGCACAAGTGTCATCTCGGACTAGAGGACCATATTGATCAAGCTGAAATTGTTGTGAATGAACTCAAAGGCCTTCTAGATGATGCGGTGTTGGTCGTGCAAACTTCTGGGGAAAAAGATGAAGATTTGAGTTGCTACTTTGAGGATTCGAATCTTGAAGTTACTTTGAGCGATAGAGAGCAATTTACAAACCTTGAAGTTGCCGATTTTGCTGCCATGATGGCTTTCGTGTACAGTATGTTGAAACAAGATTATGCAATGCAAGTCCGAATTGTGTCCTCACTAAGCTACAAGTCTTCTTTGTCTGGGGAGCTGGAGACGTATTGCAAGATGTGGTCTCTAAGGCCCTTTGTGGATGATGACATTATGCGTAAAGCTTGGGAGCTCGTTTCATGACCGTACGTATTGCATGTTTTTGGGAGTGTGTATGAAAGTTAAGGTTAGAACACGGATCGATGTGCGATTTTTGTTGTTTTGGTACTTAGGACGGTCTGAAGACACTTGTTCGGTAATGCCATTTGATCATCCCTGTTTTGGAACTCTTTAAAAGTTAATTGTTTTTCGGTAAGTTTCTTGATAGAAACTTTAGAATCGTCCTTTTTTATCTCTAGGAAACATCAGGATTATTTTGTTTTTTACAATTGCCCTTCTCTCTCTATGCAACACAACTACACAAGGATTGAATATGATCAATGGATGTTCGATGTACAGAGCACTGGCTCTTTAGTTGGTGGTGGCTCCTAAAAATTTATAATTAATTGTCACAAATTAATTTATGGATCACTAAATTAAAAGGTAACTATACATACTTCTATGTTGTCACAAATTAATTATAAATCAAAGTATCATAAATCAACAACATAGCACTAAATGACTAGTTTTCGTTGATAATTATCATAGTTTTTAAACCTAGCCTGATAATCCCCGGGTCCACTATGTCACCAGTTCAACCGTCGGGTCACTGAGTAAATTACCGGACGGAAGAATTAATTTTAGATTTTAAAGTTATATATAGTATTTTATCATATATATAAATATATATATATATATATAAAATATTTTCTACATTTGAGCAATGAATAAAACAGAGACCGCTGAAGCTAAAATTCAATTGACAACCTACATGATTTGGTGACTCTGGAAATCCCGAAACTTATGTCTTTTTCAAGAAATGCAAATCCCAGCACACCAACTTGTCAGCATTGCTCACAAGGATTGGTTGGAGTTCTCGGACGCTATCTGATTTTCAGCTTTTGTTTATATAGCATTAGGTTGCTGTATATTGTGCTTTCTTTCTGATTGCTTTGGGTCTACGTTGGTTTGTTTGTATTGGTCTGTATAAGTGGTTTCTTAGCAGTGGAGAGTTTTCTATAGATTTGCTTTTTTGTGTCTGTTTCAGCAGTTTGTTTAGGTTCTAGGCTGCATTTATGCGTATCCTCTGAGTTTTCGATTTGCGGTAGTTGTTTGAGTTGTTTTCAATCTTTGTTCCCGTTCTTTGAGTTTATAGTTATCTCTATCGTTCCCGAAAATAAATAAATAAATAAATATTTTGCATATAAATTTTGTAATACGCCAAAATTTTAATGTATTGTACATTACATAACTTACGATTATAAATAATATTCATAAATATAAAATAATACTTTATTTATATTTATGCCGTACAATAAAATTATAATATTAGTATTAATATATTTGAGTATGAAAATGCTTTGTCACACTCACATATGAATTTGTTATCTTAATGATCTCTAGTAATGATACAATTGATCGAGTGACTGTGCGAAGTACCTAGAAACCTAATCCGACCTATAGACTGGAATCAAGAGTTCATATGAAAGCTTGGTTCTTCGTTATCCGATGCAAATATCACATTAGCTAATGCGACGTGTTGCCGCTGAATGCTTTGGCTTTGAGGGTACGCTTCCGGAGTTTGATTTTCTTTCCAGTTTTCTTTGGGAATTACGTTTATCGATTTTAGATTCTTCTAGGTTTTGGGTATTTGTGTTGATCTTGTTTGAATCGGATATCGCTAAGGAAACGATCATTTGCTGATCGATATACTGGGAAAACATGTCTGAAAGGAGGTACAGAGTGCGGTCTCGTGGCCGATCTCCGTCCCCTCGGCGTCCGCCGGCAAGGCCTCGCGATTTGAGCCCTTCAAGGCCTCGGAATTATCCCTCTGACGGCCGTTATGGGAAGGAAGAGTATTTTGGTGGGCCACGAACATCTCGGAGGATAGAAAAGAGGGATGATTTTAATCGAGATTTTAGATCATATTCTCCAAGGTCTCCTGAATATGTCCATAGAGATAGGGATAAGTATGCTGCAGGTGACAGGTGGCTGAGGAGGAGCCCTCTCAGAATTAGGAGCCCCCGAGAATTTGAGAAAAGGGATGAATTCAAGAGGGATAACGACACATCACGAAATATGAGACTGCCAGACTATGATGCTGCTGCTGCTGCTGCTGCTGGCAAAACTTTTAAAGATGGGGCCCACATTGGTCATTCGATGAGATCATATCATGAGGGCTCCTATCCATGGGATCATATTCTGGATGGTCCGAGAAAACCCGTGTATTTGAGTGTGAATGATTATGGCGGGACCCCTGACTATATCAGGGTTCGTGAGAGGGATTACTATCCGCAATATACGGATAATACCAAGACCTCACTTGCTTTGGGTCATGGTGGTGTTGATGATGTTGTGCACGCGAGCAATCTGGGTAGTGCTGATGTCAGTGGTCACAGGCCTCCTGTGTCGTCATCTTACTTGAATACCTGTACAAGCAAACTTGGGTGTGCACATTTGGAGGACAAACGACAGTTGGAGAAAAGAAACGGGAGCTTGCGCAATGAAGAAGATCATCTAAGTGAAATGAAAAGGGCCTTTTTCCTTTACCAGGATGGGTCTCTGGGTGTAGACGAAAGGGAAAGAGATGAAAGTTACGGTTTCAAGAAAGGGAACAGCCTCCTGTCTTCACAGGGTCATTTGAAGGGAGATTATATCCATTCTAGGGAATACATTTCAGTGCCGAGGGGCACTATGGAGGGTTTTCTAGGCTGCTCTCCTTCTAGAGACCGAGACATGCCTTCAAAATTGAGCCAAAAAGGCAGTGGGTTAACTTCCCAGCCCATTGGTTTTGATGGATATACAGGAAGCCAGTTTGATGATACTAGGAGCACTTCAAGATTATATAGGCCGCCCCAGGAAAAGCAAGACAATGACTTGTTTTCTGAATTTGGCAGAAGCAAAATAGGCAGCACGAGTACAAGACATAATGACGTTGAAGAGGATTATAGAGATCACCATATGTCAAGAAATGTTGTTTTTAACCCTGCAGTTGATGAATGCCCTCATATGAAACCACCTATGAGGGATGATGGACAATGGGGTCCATACTCATCTCAGGTGCGGTCAATGCCTGATGATAGACTTGATGCAAGCAGATCAGTTCATGCAAGAAAGCAAGAGTGTGACATGTTGGGTGCCGGAAACTCTCGCCTCGATTATGACATTGTCGGATATCGTGAATATGTCAGTGTTGAAAAAGATGATCATTGTCATCATCATTCTAGAATGGATGTTTGTGAGTGGTCTCGTGATGAAAGATTAGATAGTTTACTATCAAGTGGATATGAGTCACATGACCCTTCGTTTGGCAGATTTTACGATAGCCCTAGCAAGAATTTAGGTTTGGAGGATGTAGACCTGGACGAAACCTTTGGGAGAAGATTGAGAAATAAACATGGTAGGGACGAGATGTACGAGCAGGATGTCGGGATTAGAATTTCTGCTGATGGGAATGGTGCAAGGAAGATATACAATCGAGAAAAATTGGGAGATGAAATTGGTTTTGCAGATTATTCTAAGAAACCCAGATCAAGCAGAGCTAACTTTGAGGAATCACGGATGGGGTTTTCCAATATAACCAATAGTCGGCCAACTTCTTCAAGGTCTCACCCACGTAAACCTGGTTCTGGAGATATAAAGAAGAGACTAGGACCAGTTCCACATAAGCTTCATGTTTCACAGCGTTTATTTAAAAAACATAAACCATCAGTGATGAAGCGGTTGGCACCTGCTCCAACAAAGAAACATGGTCCTACTGCAATAGTAAAAAATCGAAGTTCTCAATTTCCGAAAAGCATTCAAGATTCAGATGGAAATCCTCGCACTCTTGAAGACCACTTGGGAGATCATATTATTAACCCAAAGCCTGAACCACCTGAGGAGTCGGAGGATTTCAAACAGCTGGTGCAAAATGCATTTTTCAAGTATCTCAAACAAATTAATGAGATGCCTGGGAAAAGGAAAAAGTACCTGGAGCATGGCAAAGCTGGTAGTTTAAAGTGCATTGTATGTGGCAGGTCTGTGTTCTACATCATGAAGTTGTTATCATAGGTGGAACAAAATATCTGCCCATTTTTTTCAATCTGTTTCCTTAATTCTTTTTACAGTACTCAGGTAAGTATTTACTGCATCCATGTAATTTCTCCATGCGAGATCTTTCCGCCGAGCTTCCGTCAGCGTGTGTGGTGATGCCCTGAATTTGTTAAATTTTGACGTCATCCAACCCAATAGGAAAACACTGGAAGTGATCCAATAAAAAAATGGAAATAGCGATTCAAGATGTAGACAAGTGGGGAAAAACAGTCTTCCTTCTCCCGAGTCTTCCTCTAGCTTGCATTATTTGGCGGTGGACAGCGCAAAATTCATAATTTGATTTTGTCTAGGCACTCCTCTTTGAGGTTGTATTTCTGAAAGGTCCTTGCAGATGGTTGGTTATCTGAGGTCCTGCTGGTTACTGTATTTGCTTATCTATATAAGTTTTATTCATATCTAGAATGATGTTCTAGGTATATCTAAACATCTTGTAAGTTAGGATAGTGGGATTTTGGATTCCTTGTTGAAATTGAACTAAAAAGATTTGGATAAGGTGAAGGAGGATTGAGGAAATGAGTCTGTGGTTTCTGCATGGAGGTCTTAATGGGTGTATAGGTGGCAGAACTAGTGTGCTGAAGCAATATCAGAAATTTGGCTGCTGCTAATGCTATCAAATACAGTCAGAAAGATCATACAATTCAGCATTGCCATTGTGCTCACTTCATCAAAGTTTTTTTGGGAACTGAATCATTTTTTGTTACCCTTTACACATCTACACGTACATGGGATCTGCCTTCTGGAAGTATATGACCTAGGAGATCATATATATTCGAACTTTGGTTATATCTGATAATCTGCGTGTCCTCCTCACATATCTTATATGATTAGTGAGATATTGATGTACATTTCCCTCAAGCAATCAACTTCTGTCAGTTGTTGGAAAGGTGTCTAGTTAAGACACATCTTTTGATGGAGTTGACCTATATCTGAACTTCTTGGCCCTGTAATATTTTGTGTTATCCACGAGAACGGGGTTTCACCCTCATTTGTGATGTTGGAAAGTCCATGCTTTCTATCGCATGCCTTAATAAGTACATGTTTAGCTCTTATGCTATCGCTAATCATTGCGTTACAAAATTTAGTTGCAAGTACTGCATTGAAGGATTTGGTATTTATTTGTTGATACTATATTTTCTTGAGTCTTGCCTGTTCCTAGGATACTAAAAATCTTGAAAGTTGTTGGTTGTGTCTAATATATTCTTTTTAACATACAAGTTATAGTTTCTCATTGATTGAGTGTCGTTACAGCAACTCAGACGAGTTTGCAGAGACGGAAAGTTTAGCAAGACATGCCGTCTCGTCCAAAAAGGTGGGTCTTAGATCTCAGCATTTGGGCTTGCACAGAGCCCTCTGTGCACTCATGGGTTGGAAGATTTCAGAGCAGCCCAGCAGTCCATGGGTTTGTGAGGTAATGTCCAGTGCGGAGTCTTCAGCTCTTAAAGAAGACCTCATTATTTGGCCACCTGTTGTAATTGTGTATAACAGCGCCATAGATAACAAGAATCCTGATGAACGGATTATTGTATCTCCTGAGAAGCTGGATTTGCAGCTCAGAGGTAATTTTTTTATTAGGTTCTTTTTTGTGGCTTGTCTTAGTTTTTGGTTTAAATAATAATAGCGTATGGGTTCAAAGTTTTAAATTTTAGCTTCATTCATATATTCATTGTTGCATTTATTTATTGATGCGAGTGGTTCTATTTTGAAACTTCAATGAAATGACATTGCATTGCCAAATACCACTATTTGTCTTTAGTGACTCAACTTTATGCAGTTATATTGATCCTTTTTGACACCTAATTATAGTTTCTGTATTCTCTGTGGATTGTTAGTAGCCCATGAACAATCATTGCTCGAATATTAAGTTCATGTTGTCTGGTTGTGTATCCTGTAACCAAGCATCTCATGTCAAACTGAAAATAGGATCTTATTGTTTCTTCTTCTTATCCTTTTTAAAGAATTTAAATGCTTCAAAATTATTAGTTGGTTACTATAGTTAAGCCTTTTCTTCTTCTTAAATTTTTGAATTATCTCACAATAAACTTAAAGTTCAGGTTAACTACAAATGCACCCCTTTGTTGTTTCTCTATGTTTTACATATTACACTCATGTCAGAGGTAGATGTTAAAAATATAAGATAACTTTAAGTGAAATTTGCAATATTTAAATGGGTGTATTTGTAATTTGAAGCATTTATTCCTTTTTGGGTTTTGTAATTAGTCCAAACCTTGAAACCGGTTTCATCATTATTCCTAAATTTGACTTGTTTAAATATCATGGTTTAGATATGGGTTTCGTAAGCATTGTTAAGGTGTGCAATGGAAAACCTGCGAACCAAAGTGTAATGCTGGTTAAGTTCAATGGTACACTCTCTGGATTACAAGAGGCAGTTAAGTACCACAAGCGATACCTCGAGTCCAAGCATGGGAGAGACGAACTGAATCAGTTAAAATCCGATAACCAAATGTCGGCACATGTAACATCAACCAATAAAGAAGAAGATTTTCTGTATGGCTACCTGGGAATTGTGGAGGATCTGGACAAACTCGACTTTGACACCAAGAAACGGTGTGTTTTGAGGAGTAAAAATGAGATCATGAACATCGTGAACATCCCTTTAGCCACTGGGGAAGAAAATTGACGATTTCAACAGCAGATTGGAAAGAGTTGTTCGTTGTTTACAGCTGCTTACTTTTGTTTCTGTTTTCTTTTCTTTCTTGCTTGTTGTGTTTTTATCTTCTATGTCGGTTGATGCTGCACGACAATATGATGGTGATGTGAATCATCGACGGATGGTTGTAGCTGCGGGTAGCTGGATTTTGTGTTTTGATTTTTGGGATAGTTTTGTGTAGTTCTGTGGCTTGAATTTCCTCATGTTTTGTCAATGTTCTTCTGACACAAGTTAATAAATAACAGAGATAATATAATCTTCTATATTATGCATTGCCTATGGCCTTGATGAGGGGCTATTTTGCATTGGATAAATTGCAGGGAAAAGCAATTGCAGGGAAAAGCAAGTTGTTCTGCAAAGTTCCCCATTTTAGGTGGTACTTTCTATTTACTTGCATCAAGTAAAGTTGTACAGTTTTTTTTTATTTTTTTTCTTTAAATATTGTGTTTCGTCTTGCCTTTGTCTTAATTTGCCACAAGAGCAGTTTTAATTGTGCCACGGGCTGCTGCATTATTAATATTTGAAAATTTGAAGATAAACTCTTCTGAAGTCCCAATAATTTTAAGCTTCAAGAGAATATGAATGTTGAGGGTTGATCTTTTGGGGAGAGGAATGATGGAATGGGGAAATTTTTCCTGTAAAGTTCATAATTTCCAGGTTTCGAACAAGTTCGAAGTGGTCAATGCATGTTTCATCTTCGTTATGTGATTGCATTTTGTTTGTCATTTCTGCTCGTTAAAGAACTACACTTTTTTCATTTACAACTATACGCGTTTTGAATAATGACGGAAGTCGAATGCATTTGGATAAGTCGATACTTCATTTTGAAAATGTAGCTAGTGTTGTAAGCATCTAGACTCTTATCTTATGACCAAATAGAGGATCAAAGTACAGATTTGGCAAGAAGTCGAAATACTACATCTTCTCAGCCACAATATTCTCCAATAACGACTCGCAAGCGTCTTCAAGCAAATCCAGGACCTACAACAAATATAATCACAAGTTCAGCTTTTATAAGCCTGCAGATATATGAGAGATGAAACTAAAAACTAGACTTGCAGGTTTCGATCTGTACACATGTCGATATTAAAACAAGAAACGCTTTGCACTCAGAATTGTATTACTTCCCGAACAGTTTTCCAATTTACAACAATACTTGTACGTGTTTACTCTCGACCACTACATTTGAGCAAATACCCATGTGAACATAGGAAAACTCAATCGACTGCCCTTAATTATCCAAATAACAGAGAACACATTTCATATGATTCGATTCACAAAATAAATACATCAGCAATGATGATACTCTAACTACTAGCAAGACGTTCTCTACCATGAAACTATCAAAGATTTTTTTTTTCTTTTTCTTCTTCCCTGAAGTTTTATCCAAGTATGAAAACAATACATTATAATAACCATTGCCCCAGTATAGGGCCGTCTGTCGTATGTCCTAGAGTGATCATGTTAAAACTGATTCAAGATAGACTTGTATATAAACAAGGTGTGGTTCAATTTGATTCAAGATAGAATTATATATAAACAAGCTTATTTATCGCTTAATAACCATACAAAGAGAGAGATACACACTAGCTTTACCTTCTCGAAACCTTTGGGTCCACCATAATAGGGGTCGGGCACCTCAGTTTCATCATGCTTCTTGCAGTAAGAGCACATTAACTGGACCTGCGATATCAGTATTTAATTCAATTCTTAAGAAAAAAGGGAAAAGAAGGTAAAATAAACTCATACGTATAGCGTATTCCGCATTAAAGCAATCTCAGAACATACTCTTCAAGTTGAAGCAATCGAACATAGTCCACACCAATTTTACTAACCTTCTTATCTGCATTGGCAGGCAAGGGTTCCTTGTGCCTCCACCTCTCAAATGCATCTAGTATATCCTCTACACAACAAAATTCGAATACACAAAAATAAAACAAGAAGAAAACTAAAACGGGAAAAAATCATGTTTTCTGAATTACGAATTGCCCCCAAGTATAGGTTTCTACTTTACAAATTGCATCCTCAATAGATATCACTAACTAAATGCAAATTATGGGGGGTGTTTTGTGTGTTTGAAAGTCGAAACAATATAACAATCGGAAAGGAAGAAACTATCAACTGCCATTAACTGCAAGAACTTGAATAATTGCTTTTTTTTCGAGCTTCTAATACATTAATATTACCTCTATTTTTCCTATCCATTGCCAGAATAAGATCAAAGTCCCCGAAATCGGACGGCCTTATCGGCCTCGATAACGAAGTTATCTCAATTCCACGCCTTTTTGAAGCTGCCCTCATTCTTGGATCCGCTTGATCACCCTTCATTCATTTATTAATCAAAAAAAAAAAAAAAATCGAGTTACAACATCAATTCATGAAGAACCCAAGTCCCAGCAATCCAATTATCACCACAACCATGGATCAACATGTTAATCTAAAAACCCTAAAAACAGAGAATAATACGCAGTACATATCCGAAATTGCTGATTCTTTATTACCTCATGGTAGTTAATCGTGCCGGCAGAGTCGATGAAGAACTTAGAATCGAGACCCTTTTCCTTAACAAGATGTCTGAAGACACCTTCGGCGGCGGGGCTTCTGCATATGTTACCGAGGCAGACGAACAGCACAGAAAATGGTTTCTCGGCCTGTGTTCTGTCGTCCGCCATTGATGATGCAAGTATCCTTGTGGGGTTTGATTCTATAGCTACTGTTGTTCTGTGTGCATTTGAATTTGAAGCTTTGGTGTTGAGAAATGAGTGAGGTTTGAGGAAGAGAAGAGAAGGGTAGTGGCAGATTGGTAATTTTGGGGTTGAGACTGTTGGTGTTGTGTGTGAGTGTAAGGCCCTCATTGAGAGGTTTGTTCTGTCTCTCTATGAGGAGAGAAAATTTAATGGCGATATATTATTCTGCTATTGGATATAGATTATTTATCATTATTATTATTATTATTATTATTATTATTATTATTTTTTAACAAATATTTTTGTTTTGCCTCACAATAAAATACAGAAAAGTGGAAAATAAAATTTTGTAGAAGACTGGATTTTTTTTTATTATGAATTGAATTAAATATAAAACATAATAACTAAAATTTAATTTTTTTTTTATATTGTGAGAAAAAAAAATTAATATTGATTAAAGTTGAATGTTATAAATACATGTAAATAATATTTGAAAATAATTGGTATGTAGTATTATGTGAGTATATGTATATATATATGAATGGCATTTTTTTCTGAAATTTTATAATATTAGTATTAATAAGTTTCACAAGAAAAAACAAAGAAATAATGAATTGGCTATTTTCTTTAAAAAAATCCAATCATAATTTCAATTAAAAAAAAATCTTATCCAACAACACCGGGAGCATTTATTTATTTATTTTATATATCCAAGCAAGTTTAGTGGAACTTCTTGAATTCATTGAAGTATGTAAAATGATAATGTTCACATACTCACGGTGGACACATGTTAATATGTCCACGCTTATGTGGCATGCACACATTGTTGATGTTAATATATTTTAAAAAATACATCACCAATGAGTGCATGCTACATAAGCGATGGACATATTAACATGTGCTCACCATGGGTAGGTGAGCATTACTCGTATGTAAAATTGTAAAATTGACCCACTTATTATCCCGTTGAGAAGTGTTATTCTTCATTAGTGGAGTGTTTATTTTTTTTTTTGTGATTTTATTGTGTGTTGTGTTTTATGTTACCTGTAGTGGTATGTCTCCCTTATTCGACTAGTTAGTCGGTTGTAATTATGTTTTTTTTCTCCTTATGAAGTCGATCGTTTGAAAAAAAAAGTACAAAACATGGAATCTCAATTTTCCTCGTAATATGAATTGGTAGATAATCTATAGATTAACAGTTTTTATTTTTTCTATTTCAATGGAGGAAGATCTATCCTTTAAGCTTGAATCATTCCATATGTCGAATAAGGAGGTGGCAATAATCTCAATTGACTTGGAGGTATTCAGCATAGCTCGGATGAAAGTGGAATAAGTCTGTTTGCTAAGATATTTGGGCAAAAACGGGATCATTTAACCAAAATAAGGTGGACGATATGCCAAATGTGGTAAATTAGGTCAAATGTTAATCTTCGTGAGATTAGCCCCAATTTCTTTCGATTCATTTTTACAAAGGCAACGCTAAAGCCACTAAAGGGCAAAACTGGACCTCTGAAAACAAGTTTTTAATCCTAAAAGACTTCGTGGAAGGAATCTCAACTAATTATATATTCGGCTTTTCAAGAAATGGAAATCTGAGTGCAAGCTTGGAAAATCCTGTTGCACTAGATATCGGCAGAAGTGGGGCTAACACTTAGAAGTGTCTTCAAAAAGTTAAAGGACGTTTCTGTTTCACATGGTGAAAACTTCGCAGGAAATTATATCAGACTCCTTGTGGTCTTGGATGTTCAACCACCTCTCCTCATATGAACAAACGTTCAATTGGGAAGAATTGGGTAATCTCGCTCTTGAGCCATCATATCAACAACTGCACCTTCTTTTTGTCACCCAATTCATAAGCACTCCAAAGTTAAGAGCGCTGGAAAAGTAGTGTTAGTACACTGGCGACTACTATCAGGTCTTGATGGCGATCCCGGATCGATATATTAGTTAACAATATACACATTCCCAAATAGAAGTACACACCTCTTAAAAAGAGGAGAACAAAACAACAAACACACTTGCAAGACCGCATCCAAATCTTTTGAAATTGGTGAATTCAATAATAAAATTTGTAACCGTGTGAATTTAGGTGGAAGATTTGAAGACAAACCCATTAAATCTCGAGCCCAATGCAAGTATGCAACCCTCCTATAATTCCTCCCAATTATCATTTCAAGAAAAAAAAAAAAAAA